TTCCACAGCGGATTTCTCGTCATAACGGATTTTTTTGGTTGGAACCATGAATCCGCTGTGGCGAGGTTTGACTGTATATTTTTTTTCATTTAGATTAAGCGATTTTTACATATCTCAGATCATTATGCAGAGCATTCCAATTTTTTTATGAAATTAGAGCCACTTTCAAGTCACATTCGTGAGGTGTCAAAAAAAATATATCTTCCTTCATCCAATGTCTCAATTGATGAGATGATAGCACGATTTTCTGGAAGAAGCCCACATACATTCAGAATTAAAAATAAACCAAATCCTGAAGGATACAAAATTTTATCACTTTGCGATTCTGGATACACATACACCTTTATGTTTGTTTCACGAATTGTAAAAACAATTGTTGAAACTATTCCTAATGTCAATCAAATTGGCACAGAAGTTTATCATTTGGTAAAGCAATTACCACTAGGAAAAGCTTTCAATATTTTTATGGACAATTACTTTTCATCAATCAATTTATTTACATATTTAAGGAGTCAAGGATATGGTGCATGTGGTATCGTTAGGACTAATACTGCAAAATTTCCATCCATCTTAAAAGAAGAAAAAGAGTTAAAAAATTTAGAATGGGATCATTTGAAAGGTGTAGTAATAGATAATGTATTATCATTATTATGGATTGATAATGGACCTGTGACTATGCTTACTACAATACATAAAATAGATGGAATGGAAAATAGAATAGAAAGAAATAGAAGAAGACCAAGAGAGACAAGTACTAACGCAAACAAATTAAAAATTGTATTTGGAAATCAAACAAGAAAGGTGTTACCAATTCCTAAAGTAATTGATGACTACAACCACCACATGGGTGGAGTTGATGTGGCTGACCAGCTTTGTAGTTATTATTCCACTCAATTAATAGCATTCAGGACTTGGTATCCACTTTTTTTCTGGCTCTTAGACACAGCTGTTGTAAATTCATTTATTGTTTGTAAAAAGTTAGGAATTTCTCAAGAACATAAAAAGTTTAGAATTCAAATAGTTAAAGAATTGATTAAGGAAGCAACTCAAAACCCATTAAAAAGAAATACTCGTAATGGAGAAAATGGAGAGACATCTGAAAAGAAAAATGACAATAAAAGATTTCGTGTTTCTGACATTTTTGAATTACCAGCAACTAAATTAATTGGTAATGATCATTTTCCTAAATACCGCGAAGAAAGAAACTCCTGCTTGTGGTGCAGGTATGATTTAAAAAAAAAAAATGCACCTAGGCCACAAAACCCTCCACAAAGTCAAATTTGGTGTTCTAAATGCAATGTAGTATTATGTTGCAACAACAAACGTCCAAGTTGTTTTAAAAACTATCATTCTGTACAAGAATAATTTTTGTTTTATTTGTTTTAGTTATTTTTATATAGTTATTTTTTTGTAAATATTTTTATATAAAATAATAGTTATTTTTGTAAATATTTTTACATAAAATAATAATAGTAATTATTTTTGTAAATATTATTTTTTTTTGTTCGCAGGCAAATTTGCCTGCGAGAATATCCGTCCACATTTTCACAATTGTTTGTGTAATAGTATACAAAAAAAAAGGGTACTAAACCAGTTTTCTGACCTTAATGAAAGACGTGCTACGTATTAAAATATACATATTCTGTATTGGTTTTAATAGGGTAGAACCAATAATTAAAAATTATCACAAGGCGTGAGGTCAAAAAAATTTTTTTATTTAAAAAAAAATTTTACATTAAATTTTCAAAAAAAAACCCCCTTTTTTTTTTGTTGAAAATACCCAAAAACTTTTTTAAATCATAAATTTTGAGTTTTAACTATTTAGGATATAAAAAAAAATAATAAATTTTAGTTGAAAAAAAATTTGTTAATTAGTGGTGAAAAAGTGCATAGTTCGCAGGCAAATTTGCCTGCGATGATCTACATCGAGGGGATAAGAATTCTCTGCTTCATTCGCGGATCGTCAATTAAATAATTAATTGTTAAATATTAATATTTTTCTTTTCATAAAAATTACAACAACCCAAGACTCAAAACTCTGAATTCAGGGAAAATCCAAAACAGCAATCCAGGTTGCAACCTCCTGAGTTGGAGAATTTTGATATATGTGAAAAGCTTTCACTTTCATATTCATAATTATTTATTATGACTAATAACATTGATTCAATTGATTCTATTTTCTCATTTATCAATTGTAAAAAATTCAAATCATGTCATTTATACATGTCACTAAAATTATTGAATTGCGTCAGACGCAATTAAAAATCTGTAAAATTGCGTCTTGCGTCACTCTTCATAATTTTTATGATTGACGCAAGACGCAATCCGTGATCTTTTTTTTTATTTTTTGGTAATTCGGGAAAATGTTACAAATGTAACACATAATTTTGTGACTTTTATTAATATTAATATGTTTCCAAAAGTTACTTTAAGCATCCCGGGAAACATAAGATACATTCGTATAATATGTATTTTATTAATTATTTATTTATTGTAATTTTATATAAATATACGAATGTAATTATTGATTGTTAGAAGTAATTTGACTAGGATTGTATTTGCGAAATTGAACGTAAAATTCGTAAAAACTGTTATAATTTGATAACAGCGAAAATTAAATTATTACAACGCTATTGTAAGACAGTGCATATCAGTCATACGTGATGTCACAATGAGTGATTTTGTTATAGCGATCGACATAGTACTTTTCCGTACAACAGACTTT